TACATATGTATCTTCACCTCTTATATTTGTTTTTTCAAACTTCCTACTGTTTCTCAAAATAGATGAGCACTTTCAGGCATCCTGTGTTTGATACTGTTCTATCTCCAATCAAACTAAATTAAAACATCTCTTTTATTCAATCAAGCTTCTCCTGGAACATTTTATATGTACCTTAAAAATTTAATTCGACATAAAATAAATCCCCAACTATATTGCCTACTATACAATCATTCTGATCATGAACTTGACTCTGTATAATACAAAACTAATGCAAATATACAAAAATAATACAATATAAGACAAAAACTGGAGTGCCATATCTGACAATTTTCTTTGGTACTGTACACTGATTCAAGAATGTTATTACAATATATAAATACAAACATCTTCACAGAATCTTAAGCTTGGTATTTGTGCCAAGATACTTTAGACTGACTAATAAATAATTTCTTGTTTACCAGGAATTGAGAGTCCTATAATTAAAGAGATGTTCTTAGAAGTTGAAGCATGGCAACCCTCACTAGAAACTAGTATTCATGGTTCACACTCGTCGATGATGTTCCATATTCCCAGTGACCTACTCCATAATTCGACGCTGAGGAAATTCCGTTATTTATAATTTCTGGCAAGTACATTCGGGGGGCGGCCTAATGTTAGGCGGTTGCACAAGCACTTCGCGAAATTCCGAATGCACCGGTTATTGAAATGGCATTACACTTGGGACCAGATGAAAGGAAGCCAATTGTCCAAGTCGAAAATCGATCGTCTCATATCTCTTTGACTAGCTCTAGCTTACTTCCTGGTTCATTCTGTCGCCTGATCTAAGCGTGACATCAAACGCTTTGAGACAACCTGTAGATTGTGGGACATTTATTTTAACGCTGTGACATCACTGTTATTTTCACGCAGAGATTCGTGCAAATAAACAAATAACGAGACGATCATTGTGTAACAATAGTCTGTATGTCAAAGGAATGTAACTTTTCATTACTGAGATGAACGAGGTAGCTCTCTTCTATCCACTTGTTTTCTGTTGCAATTCAGAAAAAGTTGGTGTCACTCCAAGATCTTTATTTTTGAGCAATAATTTGGGGATTTGTGGCAACTCCACGAGCCATATCGTTCACACTTCATTATAGCAATTTGTGTCAATCTGAGAGCTTCCAGGTATTCTTCTTTGATATTTATCAAGTATCTCTGTCAGATTCTTCAATTTTAATAGAAGACCTTATAATGTACATTCTTCTAACTGCCTTTAGAAAGCTTGTTATTCTTCATAATGATTTTTTATTTTTGCTAGAGCGAAGTCACACTGATTATTGTCTTTTCAAAGATGTGTTCCTATTTTCTCGATAGATTCCAGATAAAAGATTCCAGAAAGAATATATCATTGTTAATATCTTCGAACGATGACTTGGAGTTTGTCCAGATATATTTCCTTTGGAGAAATCTTGTTTTTCTTCAAATTCTTCGTGTAATTTAAGAGCAACGTTTAAGTAGCCTGTGATACATCTGCTTAAGTATGCGAGTGAGTTGCATGATCGAAACATCAAGTAGTAACGGAACTATAATTATTACTGTGAATCGAACTGCAGTTCGTGACGGTGCCAATGTTATTTCAATCAACAAATAGGAAGTTGATTATAATGGCTCGATTGTTTCGACTCTTCTCCTTTTCCTAATGCAATATTTAAGATATCTAAGCACCTATTCATACAACTTATATCTGTAACAATGATAATAAGAAATCCTCAAGAGAAGTTGTTGCATTCTAAACAAGTAACCATTTGTTACAAAGAAGGTGAAAGTCAATATCTACAACAATTAACCCTTTGCACTGGAAGATCTTAAAGTTGTAAAGAAGCAGCTATTCGAAGCTTTCCTTAAATTTTAAAAGCTCATTGATACCCTTTATATTGAAATAAAAAAAGAAAATCACGTATTCGCGTGAGATATGAGCAAATATAGAATTATTTTCTTTTAACATTTCATGTATAGCTGTTCTTAATATAATTATTGTCTCTTATTCATGATTTAAGTTACAACATTAAAATTATAATGGCAACAGAAATTTACCTCCCAAGTGCAAAGAGTTAAAAAATAAAAATTCTTTTCCCTAAAAGTGTAACATTCTTTGTTTAGACCAGCTTGAATAAATCTCCATCCCACTAGTGTGCTATCAGAGACCCACGTTCAAGATAAAAACCAGAACTACCGACCTATAATAAGTAACAACTATACCATACATAAGTGATCATATTTTTATCATAAATGACTTTGCGTTTTCAGTAATTGCAACAATAAAATATCTGAAACAGCTTCCTAGTGTTTATCGCCAAAGGGTTAAGTGGAGGCAAGAACCGATTAATCTTCATCCTCCTTTGCCCAAATAAATCAACACTCCTAACAAAATGCATCTCGACTCAGTGGAATGTTTCTCGTACAACAGTTAGCCGATCGATGATATCTCTTAGCTGGCTATTTGCGAATCAAAGACGTGCCAAAATACCCTGGTCGACGCTAACACACGTGCATACGCGCGAGCGCGGAGGGGCGCGCTTCCGCAACCTTGAATTACCTCGTCTCCGAGTGTCTAGAGCGACGACACATCTGGCTGCGAGCCCGTCGCACCGGAAATCATTCGAATCACGAAATAATTGAAAATAGTCATCGAGTTCGAGGCAGCGCTCAATGTTACGTAACGAATTCCCTTCGCGGTCAGTCATCGTTGTGGAATTTCGTGTGAATTAACCCTGGAGAGATCTGATGACCCTGGGTCATCGAGTTCACGACTTCTTGCGTGTTGCTTCTTATTTATCGACTAGCCGGTATTATTCGGCGATATTCAGATGTTCAATTGCAATTTTTCCTCATGACGCTTGTGGTACATGCATCATGACGTACTCGATTAACGATATCCTTTATGACACGCCAAACATCTAGGGAAAGTAAGTAAATAATTATTGGAATAACATGTGCGTTATCAAGAGACGACAGTCAGGCCATAGCTTACACTTCTTAAACTTCTTAAGTTCTGCTGATAAGATGCGTGTGAAATTAGCTGCTCTGTCATACCGTGGACTTTTGATCTTTTTCTGCTAATCGCGTGCTAATTTTTCTTCCACGATATTTGTAATCTTGTACGTAGCAGCTCGTCTTCTTATTTCCAATGTTGCACGATTTGAAACTAGTAACATATGTACGATGATAGTTCCAGTGGAAGTGTCTGCTTCCAGATTTCAATTTCTCTCAGTTATCAGATTTGCACCTGCCTTTGTTTGCCTTTCAGTTTAATTTGTTTGTAATTTGGGTAAGGATTATTTTCATAGCTTTATGTACGTGTTACATTTTATTTGCTTTTATTCGATTATTTAACACAGTCTGTTAGAGGTGCTAAGGTAATTTGTACTTCTGCAAGGCTAAATATTAGTCTTTGTGCGTTATGATATCTTCGGTGTTACTTTTATAAATATATAACTAGCTTAATTTTAAACGATTACAGCAAGAGAAGTTACATTACAAAAACAAAAGAAAGAAAGATTTAATTTGATAAATAAAATTTGAAAATAACTAGTCTAGCTCTGAACCTAAGATAATTCATACTTGTTCTCTTTGACAACTTAATGGAATGTCAATCTATCACTAAACTGAAAGATATCCATCAAGATAACGTGCAAGAACTTATAAATAATCTAGCTCGTGAACTGACTAAAAAGTTACAATAATATTATTACAAAAATCAAGAAAAATCCAAGTATTTTTCTATCTCTCAAATAATTTACATCCTTCACCCTACAGAATTTGATTTGGACACTGAGTACTTCATTAAGAAAAAAGAAAAAGGGAAATCAAAATTGAAAATATGTGAAATAAGAATTAAACACAAAGTTTGATCTACTGCAGAGAACTCTTAATGCTATCTGCTCAAAAAATCTCAGAGAGAATTCTTGAAGGTAATTAAACTAGATTCATAAATAATTAATCCTTGACACAACCGTACAAAACAAATGTAGAAACTTAATTCTATATCCTACTGTCCACCGGTTTGGATATCCTATGAGCTTTCTCGGGTTTCACAACGTTATTGCCACAGTGCTTATTAGGAATGCACGTACATGCACGTGTTCAGATTGACAGATATCGAGCCCACAATGGACCCCTTGAACCGATTCTCCTCGAGGCTTCCGGCATGGCCTGTCGATGCCTGTTCACTGTTTACAACTAGCATGGATGCGCCTATCAGTCACTGCCATCGGAATACACCTGTTGCAGCGCAGGAAACGCGAGACAGGGCTGCCCTCGTAAGCTCAACGTTGAGCACACTGATAACTTATGCACTCTCGTTAAGCTCTTTGACAAAACACGGAACGCATATGTCCCAGCATGAAACGCTGCCGGTCAAGGTCGTTACATAACACTCAGCATTAGATTGGACGACATTAGTAATTATTTCATTAGCACACCGGATACATTGCATTGGCCCTCGTCGCTTGTTACTGTTTCAATTGATATTCAGCATCGTGCCGCCACGGAAATCGTATTTGGCGTTCCTCCTTGGCAAGCAATCTTGCATGTCTTCGCGATGCGTTCTAGAGCGTGCAGAACTAGCAAACAAACGGCTTAAGTTATACCAGCAAGTATGGATAATAATATTAGCGATGCAGTACATACGCTGTGGGTTCTGCAGGCTCCGTGGTGCTTCTGAAGAATCAATTGTTTAGGTTGCTTCCTCTGATAGCGTATCTCGTTGACGAAGTCTTCCACGCTGCCCTCGGAAGTGAAAACGACGAAATTGGCCGTACTTCGGTCACTCGGTCTAAGGTATGCGATTAAATGATTCCAGAGACGCCGTTCCATTTAGGTCTACGTTCCATGCTCGACGCTGGTGCCCGCACAGGTTCGCGCAAACGTTGGATTGGTCGATACAGATTGCCCGTTGTCGAAAGTTCGATCGGATTAAAGATGAGAGTTGTGCGTTGAGTGAAATTTCTAGCTAAAATCCCTCCACAAGGACACGGTGCATGATCGCAAGGAAGACGGAAAGCATGATCATTGCTAGGGAGCCCTGGCTCGAGGACGATAAATTTTCACACTTGGGCAATGGTTTATCGGTAGTCGTTTCAATTGGCATGATTCCCGGAGTTACTTCCCCTTGCTGTGGTCGATTAGCCACCAAAGGCGGTGAGTGGACAGTGACCGTGGTCTCGTAATAAGGCGACTGATACACGTTATCTAGCGGAGCGGGGTGGACCATTGTTGGCGTCACTGGCTGGATAGGTCGTATGATGAGATTTGTGTCTGAAGGAGTCACTGGATCTGGATATCCCGGTCCTCTGCTTTCGATCCTAGGTGTATATTCTACATTCGGTGATACGGTATTTCTTTCTAGCCCCTCAGTCACGAAGGAATTCATGATACTTTCTGCGTCAAGCTCCGTTGTTTCATGACGCTCGCCTGGGCTCGATGCCAAGAGGAACGAATCTGTTGAGCCCGAATAATCCGGCTGTTCTGTGTAATGTTTGTCCTGGTTTCTATGGGGAGGATAGATCGGGTATTCGGTCCTGGCACTGGTGGATTCCGGGAATCTCGGCCAAGATCTCAAGGTCGTTACATCTTGGCTACCTGTGCTGTACTGTACCGTCTCACGCGGTGAATATGTCGTCGACTCTATTGGTGCGATGGTTCTTGGTGGAACATAGGGTGTTCTTGCTGTGTCGTATGTTAGACTCGTAACTTCTGGCTCTTCATAGGGGATTGTCGATGGTCTGGATGTTGTTCTTGAGTCTACATTGGAGGTGTGCATTGGAGGGTACACTACTTCTTCAGTTGTGTAAAACATAGGTAGAATATGTGCTATCGTCGATGCCACAGTGGATGATAGTGTCATGGGTGTAGGATGCAATCGTTCACGATAGGCAGGTTGCGGTTCGCTTACAGGAACTACTTCGTCGTAGTAATCGTAGTTGGATGAAGTTTCTGCTGGAATTAAATCGGTTGGTAGTTTAGACCATTCTGGATCCTTTTCGAAGTTAACCCCACGACTCTCGAGGAAGGCACTGACAGCGTTAGGGCATTTGAATTCCGCATTTTCACTCAGGAATATTCTCTTTAAATCTTTCAGCTGGGACATAGCTGCAAGGTTCAAGCATTCTAAACGATTACCAGATAGTCTTAAATCAACCAGACTGGGTAGATTTTTGAATACACCATTCTCGATTGATGAAATACTGTTGTAATTTAGATCCAAGTATGTCAAGTAATCTAAACCTTTGAACCAGGATTCCTTCACGGTAGTCAAGTGATTGTTGTTTAAACTTAGTTGCTGAAGATTGCTCAAATGTCGAAAAGCATCTGGTTCGATATCCACAATGCCACAATGAGAACAACCTAGAACCCAAAGTTCTGAACCGAACCTTGCAAAAGTGTTCACGGTTATTCGTTGCATGGGCATGTTGGAAATGCGAATTTTCCCGGTTGTCGGGGGAAGATAATTTAGATCGGAAAGTTGGCCACCTTCGCAGATGTATTCTATCATATCGTCGTTTTCCACATGTTTGCACATCCCTTGTACACCACCGACACTTGCACACAGTACAGCGCACAGATACAGTACAACGATTGCACCCATTTTTAGCAGCTTGATTGTACTGTTTCAAAAATCTCGCGATAAATTATACAGTTTTGTGCGGTATAAGGTACGTATCATTATTTTGCGTTCATACGTACGAATAAATCAGAGGTTCGTAGTCATCACGGTAGGGATTTTAGCCGAAAATTTTACAACGTCTAGCGGTGAGCTAGAACCGGTCTAATTGTTCTGTAGACTGAATCCTCTCTTGCGTTCCCTCTTTACTTATTTACTAGCATTCCCCCTCCCATTCGTCGTACTATTAGTCCACCTCCTACTACTAGTTCCAATCATGAAGCAGTACTATGTATTGATAAAAATAGAAAAGCTTGAAAATAGCGTGCTGCTCACTTGTTCATCAGATCTCTAAGGTGATCTATAGCGTAATTAGAGGGATGGGGTGCCGTGCTTAAATTTACGAGCACATTGCCACTTGAACGTACGATAGATTTGACATCAACAAATTGTTATGTTTCAGATAGACATCGGCGAATTTAATTCTTCCAATAAATCAACTTTCAATAAAATGCGACAAATGTGATTTATTTGGTAAATTAAACAAAATACCGGGAAGATGAGAACCATTAAAAGATACATACTATTGCGTATATTATTCATTCAAATTTTATATTTCATATAGAAAAGAAGTAATAGAAGAGAAGTAATTTTTAAGTGAATTTCTTAGATATGTTATAGAATGATTTGTCTATTAAAATTGTTTGATAAGTTTGTAAATTTAATTTTTTGGAATATTAAAACTATCAGAAATTTTTGCCAATACCAATTGTTTTATAAACATATAGTACAAACATTAAAAATATTGAAAAACTAAAAATTTGACAAGGATAATTTTTTCAAGTGATGTTTTTAATAACTCTCTTACCTTACGTTTTCTGCGTTGTTTTTTCTTATCATTTTCTTGCGTGAAGGCTTTATACTCTGGTACTTCACCCTCTTCAATGAGCCCTTGGATTATACTGTGTATTCTTGGTTCATCATCACAGTTAGTGAAAGGAACAGTTTCTAAGATATAATCCATATCTCCTTTACCTATGTAAAAATAAGGTAAATACAAAAATTTATTAACTACAATACATTAATTACATAATTTATAGTATATGTCATTTACGTACTGTCCATGTAAGCACGCTTCAAATCTTTGATTTCTATTTCAGATCCTTTGTAATTTTTTTCATAGTTATTGATATCCTCTACTGAAATTTTCTTAAACAAAGATTTCCAATAGTCTGCCCAATTTCTCATCATAAGTTCTTCACTTTCTTCATCATATTGACCAGACTGATCATAAATCTTGCGTTTTTCACTGTCACTGAGAATAGAATGAATCCGTCCAAGAACTTTGAATTTTTCTGTTGCTTCTACCTTGATGTCTTCTTCAACTCGGTCAGGATGTACAAGCAATGATAGTTGATGATATGCTTTCTTCACTACAAAAATATAAAAAATAATTGTTGTAAGATATTTAAATGTAATGGTAATCTTTATTTGCTAAATACGTTATACTTGAAATTGTTGGAAATCAGTTTCATCAAACAGGTTATGTTACGTACCTTGTTTGTCGTTGGCACTTCTTGGTATTTTTAGAACTTCATAAAAATCACGAGCACCGAAGTACTGTTCACAAAGATCTAATAAACTTGTCATGATTTTGATTTTCTATTAATCACTGATAAATTGTATTAAAAATTAAACCAAATGACGAACTATAGGGTTATATGTTTCGCGCTTATTTTCAGTCACATGAATTCAAATAATATTGTGGAGGTTCTATGATACTTCTATGTATTTGGCGGTAAAATTAAAGGATCATGAAAATTTTCTTAGAAATTTGTCAATATTAAGACTATTATAACATAAAACAAAAAAACAAAAAAGAATCATACAGTAATCTACCTGGGGTTATTTTAATGGGTGAAATTTCAATTTTTAAATTATTAAATTAGCTTTCATCGAAATTAATTTTATATTGGGAAATGAAATGAAAAAATAACGCGTTTATTTCTTGAAAATTTTACGGAATTTAAAATATTTTTCCGACCGAAATGACTATGAATTTGAATATTAAGGCTCTTTCTTTACTTAAAAGTTGATATACAATTGATTATTATTGCTTTATTACATTTTGAAATTCTCACGAAGGATAACCTACATGTATATTATGCGTAGTTGCTTACTAGAGTTTATAAATCACTATGCAAACTTATTTTATACAAAAAATTATACATACCATATTTTGTAATAATTGTAATATAACAAATATTATATTAATAAAACATTTCAAAATAAAAGTACATATTTATACATAAATGTTAAAATAACATTTTCTATTTTATTTCGAAAAAAAAGGAAACAATTTTGTAGGG